CAGCACATTATTCCACTTCCTTGTCTCTCCATCTTTCAAAATTGTAATCCACATCGTCACACTGCCATGCCCTGTTTATGGAGATTTTACTGAATGATACTGGTTGGTACTGTACAGGAAACGCTTATAGACTGGGCAGGTAGTCTCTGTCAAGGCCCGTCACTCGTCATTTTGGGCAAGTAAACAACATTCCCTCAACTTGGTGGCCAAGAACTACTAGCCGAAGGTTGCCTCTGAGATCCCGACGTGACTCAGCCCTACTGCAAACATGAGCAGGCCGATTCAGCACACGTATGGTGGGTTTGGTAGCTTCATAATCCACAGCTCGAACGTTTCTAATAGTGTTTCGTCCTACAGTTGCAAACCTTTTGATACAAGCTCACCCAGAGCGTTGTATGACAAGAATGTAGAACGTAAGAAAGGTAGACACAAATATATTGCTTTGACGTTGTGATTGTCGTTGGTGGGAACTCAAAGTGTATCTAGAGGACGCTCATTAGCTGTCTGAAATTTAAGGTTCTCAATGTAAACTACTTTAATCCATAGCTACTACAACCTGATTAGACAACAGGGATATGGCGCTCGATCGTCTTCAAGCTCATCCAGCTCTTGTGGACGTGAGAAGAGCGCAAGACTTCTTTACCCGACACCTAGGCCTGTCTTGGAAGTGCTAGGATTCAGAATATAATTTTTTATGTCAATGCCGACTCTGAGACTGTGATACCCCCTTTTTGAAAAGCATGTTATTTGTTCTTCAAATGTCATAGCGTAACGACTCCGACCGTCAGTGCAATTCCGACTTGCATCCGACGCATCAATGCCTCGCAAGAATTGATTTTGCACCTATTTAGGGACGTTCTGTAACAACATTTGATTGCATCGTTAATATGCAAGTGGCAGGAGTAATTACGAGGTTAAATGGATGGTACACATGAAATTTAACTGTGCTATTTTCCATGCGAACTCAGTGCTCGATTGACCACCCAGGCGGGTGAATTGAGGGGGAGGCACCGAGCATCGGGATACGTAAGATGGCTGCCCTGGCCATGAAGTTACTGAGGCTTGTAATTCCCCGTCGAGCGCCCAGATGAGTATCCCTGCGATGTTGTTGTGCTAACCCCCATCGATGTAGCTCAACGGAAGAGCTCCCGAAACGGTAGGTGGTGGTTCGATTCCATCCATCGAAATATTTACTCTCGAATGCCTGTTGCCAACCTCTAAGCTAACAATAGCGATTAAAATGGCAGTTTGGAATTCCTCTGTAAGTTTACCAAAACGTGAATTTGGAACGTTGACTATCCCATTCCTCTCTCATGAAGTGAGTGCGTACGAATTAGAGCATTGCCGAAGATCTTCATAGGTATAGAAGATTTACCTTTCCCATCAACGAACAAAGATGTGCAGTATTTCTTAGGATATCTGAATTACTACAATAACTTCACTGAAGCCTTACCAGTAGTTGCCGCTGTATTCTACGAACTTGACGAAGAACGTGTACGTGCTGGACGGATCCTGGAAGCCGCGAAGGAGTCTTTTGAGATAGCGTAAGATCGTGTCGACCCCGTTGTTACGCACCCAGACATGACCAAGCCCTTTGTGATTTTTCCTCATGCTAATCTATGGGCAGCCTGCGCGGTCTTAGGACAGAAACACGATGCTCTCATACACCCAGGGCGTTTCACTGGCAGAGTACTGAAGGAATCGGAGTTACGCTACCACATAGCTGAGAAGGAAGTGCTCGCAATCTGGCGGACTCTGGAAGTGTTCAGGCATCTGATCTATGGATCCGAATTCCCATTGGTAATATATACCCGTTACTCTGTGTTGAAGTGGTTATTAGAGTCCAACGCTACGGGTGGGCGAAATCTGAAGTGGGGATTGGAATTGTCGAAGTGGTCTCTGGAAATTCATCGAATCCAGAAAGATGAGGACGGCCTTGCGGCCATCCTCAGATCCGGAATCCCTCCAAGAGAACATTTAGATAAAGTCGTAGAAACTTTGATTCCCGCCAAGGGGCGTCTAAACGAGATGCCTTCAGTGAGTCTGGAAATGTTAGATACGGACTATCACGGCTATGTTTTGAGTTTTGACGGTGCTGCAAAGGTTTCTACTCGCCAAGGAAGTTGTGGATGTATCTTGTGGTAGTTGAAATCCGAGAACATTTGGGAACTCTGAGTTTGGCGTGTGGCCCTTGTGTATAATCCCTGTGGGTTGAACCCAATATTCGGTAAGTCTTGGTCTCGACCGTCCGTAGATAGTTTGTAGGAAGTCTGTGTGCTTAGCGTGTGACTCACTCTCTGAGTGCGCCGCTATGACTGAAGCCTAAACCCCAGAACACACTTCTCTTAATAAGACAACCAAATACAATACA